GGAGATCTGTGGAGGTGCGACTGCACCCTGCGTGACGGGAGATGTCTCCCGGACCAAATGGTGACCAGATGGTGCCTTATCCTGACCCATTCCAAGGGCTATATAGTCGTTATGGCTTGGCGCTTTCTCTTCATCTCTCCCTTTCCTTCATCTCATCACAGATTTCTCCACATCACAGAGCAGATTTACCTTCATCTCAGGACAGATTTAACCAGGGGCCAGATTCACGAAAGCACTTAGGCAAACACCTACGAACCTGTACATATTTTTCTCAATCTTTGGCGGCTTTGTTTACAATTATTAAACAGTTAATGAGCTCCGAAGCACCAGGAGGCTGTTTATAACAATAACAACAGTTGATTGGCAAGTTTTCATGCTTGTAAACTGTTTAATAAATGTAACCAAAGCCGTCAAAGATTGAGGAAAGATGTACACGTTCGTATGTGCTTGCGTAACTGCTTTCGTGAATCTAGCCCCAGATTTGCACAGATGTACCTACATTTTAGGATAAGCTTAACCAGATTATAGTACATAGCTACAGACACAGCTGGTAGCAGTAGGTGTTAATGCTGACTTGGGGTAATTAAGATATCTAAATTAACATTCCCGCCACCTGGCCTCATTTCTCAGCACCAGAGGGCATCCATAATTGTGATCCCAGGCATGGCTTCCGTTCTCGTAGAGGACGGATTCACATCGGATTTACTCTACGACAACGTCCCCTACAACCTTCTCCTGTTGTGGAGGATTTTGTTGCTCTTGTCGTAGTCGCAGAGGGTGCGTGTCGCAGAGGGTGCGTGTCGCAGAGGGTGCGTGTCGCAGAGGGTGCGGGTCGCAGAGGGTGCGGGTCGTCTTCAGTTGAGACCTCGTTCGTGTTCTTAAAGAGGTCCTAAGCAGGGTGGCCATCACGACGATTCGCTGCAGGTGGCCAATTCCTCTTTAATGGGCACTTATTTTCTCATTTAAATGGGCTTAATGGGTTTTTGCTTCGCTCTATTTGCTGTTCTCGTTATGCCAAGTTCTCCCACATGTGTTTGTGTTTTGGGTAATGTTCTTCGGTTGTTCTATGACCTAAGGGATCACTCGGCTCCATCAGCCCTAAGGGCCAATATACTTGTTAATGATCTGTTTTGTTCACACGTGTTCTCTCTTAGTCCTGTAGAATATACAGGAGCCAGATTCACGCAAGCACTTACGAACGTGTACATCTTTCCTCAATCTTTGACGGCTTTGGTTACATTTATTAAACAGTTTACAAGCATGAAAACTTGCCAATCAACTGTTGTTATTGTTATAAACAGCCTCCTGGTGCTTTGGAGCTCATTAACTGTTTAATAATTGTAAACAAAGCCGCCAAAGATTGAGAAAAGATGTACACGTTCGTAAGTGCTTTCGTGAATCTGGCTCCAGGACTCCCTGTTAGTCCTGTAGAATATACGATGGTTGCTCATTGGATAGATGATGTACAGTAAGTACTTAGCTGGTACTTAGGGATAGCACAACCAATCGTAATTCAGACATTTTTCTCTCCACCAATCTTCACCTTCTGAATATACTGACTATCATGACTATGACGCTGCCGATGGATTTTAGGCAAATCTAGGAAGTCTTTCTAGTAGAGCATTCATTTTGATTGTTGATCTTTCTGCTGTCTTGCAATTTAAGAAATTATTTCAATGGAGCATTCTTCTTTATTGAATCTTAGGACGTACTTTAAGACTCTGGAAGATATTAACTTGCAGGCGATGAGTCACAATAACGTGGCTGAAGTATGTTGACCAGACCACACACTAGAAATTGAAGGGACGACGACGTTTCGGTCCGTCCTGGACCATTCTCAAGTCGATTGTGTTGTGATAAAAACGTCGTCGAAACGATAAAAACGATAAAGGTGATAAAAACGTTTTGTGATAAAAACGTTGTGCGAAACGTCGTCGTCCCTTCAATTTCTAGTGTGTGGTCTGGGCAACAAGATATTAACTTGTTTCACAAACATGCTCTGAAGTATTTGGATCAGTTATCACGGCTCAGAGGTGTGGTCTTCAGATTTGTGCTGGTCCAAGCAAATTGTAACAGCTTTAAGCTGGTGTCCACAGCTTTAACATCAGGGGTCTGCTTCACAAGTTCATTATCTCATTGGCTTTATTGCATATTCCATCTTCATTTATCTACCAAAACTTCAGATTTGTATTGATTACTTTGTTAAACTGTGTGTAGCACTATTTGGTTGGGATGGAAAGGATAATTGAGTAAAAAGGAAGAATATGAAGGGGGTTATGTAGAATGAAAGGAACATGAAGAAAGGTGTGAAGGGAGAGCAAGAGAATAAAAATGTTAGGAAGATTAAGACACCTGATAGAAAAGATAGAAAATGATAGAAAAAAGACACTCAAAGATAGAAAATGATAGAAAAAAGACACTCAAAGATAGAAAATGATAGAAAAAAGGCACTCAAAGATAGAAAATGATAGAAAAAAGGCACTCAAAGATAGAAAATGATAGAAAAAAGACACTCAAAGATAGAAAATGATAGAAAAAAGACACTCAAAGATAGAAAATGATAGAAAAAAGACACTCAAAGATAGAAAATGAGAGAAGAAGAAGAAAAGGTGGAACGAGTCGAAGAATTAGTGATGAGATGAAGAGATGCAAGATGAAAGTGGATTAGAGGAAAATGCAGGAGGAATTGAGAGGGAGTGTTAAGTGGATAACTACAGGCTGTTAAGTGGAATAATGAAATATCTAGCTTTAAAAGGAATATATAATGAAGAAGAGAATGAAGACACAGGGAAGAGGTGGCAGGTGGAGGCTCAGTAGACCCGGTGATAGCTGTTGGAGTATTGAGTAGTGAAGTAGAGAAAGAGCTATTCAAGGATAAATTGGGCGTAAGAGTGCATCTGTAGACAGAAACATTTGTGTTTAATGTAACTAAGTAATGAGAGAGGTGGAGAAGGTTACAAATGTTGACCAGACCACACACTAGAAGGGACGACGACGTTTCGGTCCGTCCGGGACCATTCTCAAGTCGATTGAGAATGGTCCAGGACGGACCGAAACGTAGTCGTCCCTTCACCTTCTAGTGTGTGGTCTGGTCAACATACTTCAGCCACGTTATTGTGACTCATCGCCTGCAAGCTTGCAAATGTCAGTTATTTCCAGGGAAGACTAAACTGGAAAGTGGTGTTCCTTATTGTCTTATTTTGCAATTACAATTTCCAGCTGCAAGAGAGGTGGGAGAGGTAGTATTTGAACGCTTATTCTTAGAATACTTTCAGTACATGTACTTTCTATGCATCGTTAATCAACAACATTAACTAGTCTGATTCCCTGGACGGTAGAGCGACGGTTTCGCTTCGTGCAGGTCAGTGTTCAATCCCCGACTGTCCACAAGTGGTTGGCCACCATTCCTTCCCCCCCGTCCCATCCCAAATCCTTATCCTGACCCCTTCCAACCCGTTCTCGCACTTTCTTACAGTCAATATTGACTTATTAAATACGTGCATATGTGACATACTAAACATACTAGTTTACCTTGAAAAGCTTCATAGAAAACACCGACCTTACCTAACCTCCTTAGTATGTTAAGATAAGCATCTTATTGCTTCGTAATTACAATTATTACTTAACCAATCCTTCCCAGTGCTATATAGTCTTAATGTCTTGGAGGTTTTTCATAATCGTTCCCTACTCCTCCCAATATCATGCAACTTCTTAGTATTTGTTGCACAAAAAACATATTGAGAAGCCTTTTAACACCCCCACACTGTAGGCCTTTTTCCCTTAGGCCTTTTTCACTTAAAAATAATTAACGTGGATATCTTGAACCTGCTATACAGAAATTTTAGTTCGTTAGCCATCTATCTTCTCAGAATTTTATTTTCCGTTTTAAGACACTCTAAACTACTGTTATTATTTCTTTAATGATTCTTTAAAAGAAAACTGAACTTTATTGCCTTGTTTAGTGCGCTTGAGAACATTGTGGGAAGTTATTCACTTCTATAACACGTTCAATAAAACCTTTTAAGCCTTTCGGAGCCTTTTTCTGTGATTGTTACTTTAAGATGCCCGATGATAAGATGATTGATAATCATCTTATCTGATAATGATGATTGATAATCACTTATCAATCATCTTATTAATAATAAGATTGATTGATAAGTTACTTTAAGATGATTGTTTCATGCCCGAAACGCTTTGCGTAATAGTGGCTTTAGGCATTGTATGTACTAGCTCTACCTATAAGTCAACCAATCCTTGTAAATATTTATTGTATGTATGTACCTTACCTAAATAAAATTGTATTGTATTGTATTAATGGTAACTTAGATGTGTTATGCGTGAGGTGGTGTATGAAAGTGTTCATGGATGTTCACTGTTAGGTTCGTACGTGTGTACCTGTGGTACATATACGGAGACCAAGCCTTGTTTCTAGCTGTGGGTATACAGGGAAAAATTATCTCTCCTTTTTCTCTCCCCTCTCCTTTATCTCTGTTCTTTCTCTTCTTTTTCTTTTCTCTCTCTCTCCTTTCTCTCTCTCCTTTCTCTCTCTGTTCTTTCTCTCTCTCCTTTCTCTCTCTGTTCTTTCTCTCTCTCCTTTCTCTCTCTGTTCTTTCTCTCTCTCCTTTCTCTCTCTGTTCTCTCTCCTTTCTCTTCTTTCTCACTCTACTCTTCTCTCTCTCCTTTCTCTCTCTCTACTTTCTCTCCCTCTCTACTTTCTCTCCCTCTCTACTTTCTCTCCCTCTCTACTTTCTCTCCTTTCTCTCTTTTCTCTCTTCTTTTTTTTCTTAATTAGGCCACGTCTTCCAGGAAATGGATCATGGGTATAAATATACACGTGAACGAATATTAATAACCCACACAGCTGCTGAAATAAATAATTTCTAGTTGGTTGTGATAGTTGTAGTGGTTGTTGTTGTTACAATATAACAGGAGGAGAGTAGTTGTGGTACATTCAATAACAGAAATAACAACTAGAGAACAAATTATAATGCAGGACTTACCCTCGGTTGAAGAGTCAATGGTGACTACAACTCTCTTGGTATTTGATGTGTATTCAGCAGTGGTGGTTGTGGTGGTTGTAGTGGTGGTGGTAGGGATGGTGGTAGCTGTAGTGGTTGAGGTGACAGGCTCTTGCACCGACACTATTCTGGCTAGAGAAAATAATATGATCCAGTTCACAAAAGACTTCATGCTGGAGGCTGGTCCGTTATTCGTCATGAGCGTTGGTTGGTCTCCTGGACCGTGGCTTCGTTATCAACAACAGGTCTCTAAGGTCAGGACAAGTCAGCATTGGGGTAATGACGTTATCTCGCAGCTCTCCCTCGATCAGGTGCATGGGTCACAGCTTGACTTGCTCGATTCATTTGGTCAAAAATCACTATCACTGGATCATAGTTTGACTCACTGGGGTCAAAAGGTCAGCATTACACTAACGAGAGTGACCTGGCTGGATCCGACAGGTCACGAAAATGGTACAGGTCCATGGCAATGACCTGGGAAGAGCAGTATCACTGAAAAATCCCCAACACTTGATAATATTAAAGACTTGCCTCCACTGCCGCGAATCTTTGCAATTTCAACCAGAGTAGAGAACGAGTTTGTTCCCTGCCAGGCGTACGATACATGCGTATGTATTGCAAGGTTCTTATGCAATATTGTTTGTCACCTATTTGTTAGATCTACGTAAAGTCCATCTTCCATGATTGTCCCGCATAATACAGCTTTTAACTATACAAGAAGATGACTACAAAATCCTCCAAATCGGAAGAGATGGTTTTGTTTGGTTTTAAATGATTTCTTTATGGTTGGGGAAATAGAGAGCAAGATGCTTCACACACAGGTTGTGTAAAAGCCTGGTTTGTGCCTCGGAGAGGCTACGGGATCCAGTAAGTTCAGTAGAACTTCGGTTTCAACCCTTTTAACCCTGTCGTAGCTCAGTCGATTAAGGCAGTGTCTGGGATGCTCCCGGACGCAGGTTCGAATCCTCGTCACAGCCCTTGTGGATTTGTTCAGCAAGATGCTTCTTTAATACGCAGCTTGATGGAACAGATTGAGTTAGGATTTGATTATATTTAATTAGTTGAGCAGTAAATTGACGAGTGGGAAGGGAATTGAATGTGTGTTGCTCAGGTGAAGCCGAGACAGTTTTCCTGTGCACAGGCTAAGCTTAGCGAGTGTATCTGCGCACAAGTGAAGCAGGGTTCGATGTTTCCTGGAGCAGAGGTGATGTCAGTGGTGAGGCTTTCTGTTGCATAGATGAGGGGCTCCTCAGTACACAGGTGAAGGGGCTCCTCAGTACACAGGTGAAGGACGTTAGCTTCCCACACACCTGTAGAGGAGACCAAGAACTTTTTAGAAACCTTCGTCACTTAATGGGACATGTTAGTGTGTCAGTTTTGACTGTTTTAGCCTGACAGAAGAACACGAAGGGAGGGAAGGGAACGCCACAGGGAACGCCACGAAGGGAACGCCATAGGGAACGCCACGAAGGGAGGGAAGGGAACGCCATAGGGAACGCCACGAAGGGAGGGAAGGGAACGCCATAGGGAACGCCACGAAGGGAGGGAAGGATACGCCATAGGGAACGCCACGAAGGGAGGGAAGGATACGCCATAGGGAACGCCACGAAGGGAGGGAAGGGAACGCCATTGGGAACGCCACGAAGGGAGGGAAGGGAACGCCATAGGGAACGCCACGAAGGGAGGGAAGGATACGCCATAGGGAACGCCACGAGGGGAGGGAAGGGAACGCCATAGGGAACGCCACGAAGGGAGGGAAGGGAACGCCATAGGGAACGCCACGAGGGGAGGGAAGGGAACGCCATAGGGAACGCCACGAAGGGAGGGAAGGGAACGCCATAGGGAACGCCACGAAGGGAGGGAAGGATACGCTATAGGGAACGCCACGAAGGGAGGGAAGGGAACGCCAGAAAGAAGAGATGGAAGAAAGGGACACACAAGGCAATGAAAGAATAGTGTTGATGAACGTAAACTTCCCTCCCACTGCTCTAATGTAGTGGAAAGGGAGGGAAGAAGATAGGAGGAGGTTCAGATAGACGTAGGGCGATATATTGGGAAGGAAAAGGGAAGGTTATGATGGAGGAAAGGAAGAAGAGAAAGAAGGAGGAGAGGTTGAGTGACGTAAAGTGGAAGAAGGCGAGAGGTAGAGAGAGATAAGATGATGGAGAGGGAAGGAGACAGAAGGAGGGAAAAGGGATGGAAGCAAGAGAAGATGTCTAACTAAGCCATCTTGCATAACTCAATCTTCGTTTGAACAATTCTCTGAAATCCAAGATGTTCCAAGTACAACAATTCACATTATCCTGAATACGAGTCCATATACTTCCTTCCTAAATAAATCATCTTCATTTATAAATTAGTTTAAAATTATTTGGCAACAGGAGAAAAGGTTTCAAACATAATCCATCTGGCAGAATTCTAAGACGTTTCTCCTTGGGCGAGAGTTAAGACGCAAGGGAGCAATGAAATCTGAATTGATGGCATCTTAGGGTGGGGTGGCTATGTAGGGCTTCGGCAAGGATGCTGCATCCTTGATTTGGGACGAGCTAGAGGGCTGGGAGATGGGTCAAGAGGAGAGGCTGTAGCCTTGGCTGCTCCGAGACGATGTTAGGGGTGAAAGCTGAGTAAAGCTAGGATGTTGAATCATTCATCTGAGACGAGCTAGCGGGGGGAGATGAGAGAATTGAAGATGCTGTTGCAGCTAAGATCACTACTCAGTACGCTACTTATTAGCACGTGAAAGTGCGCGCGCGCGCGCGCGCACACACACACACACACACACACACACACACACACACACACACACACACACACACACACACACACACACACACACACACACACACAGAGGGTTTAGGGGGGATATGATCACCACGTACAAGATTCTCAGAGGAATTGACAGGGTAGATAAAGACAGGCTATTTAACACAAGGGGCACACGCACTAGGGGACACAGGTGGAAACTGAGTACCCAAATGAGCCACAGAGATATTAGAAAGAATTTTTTCAGTGTCAGAGTGGTTGACAAATGGAATGCATTAGGAAGCAATGTGGTGGAGGCTGACTCCATACACAGTTTCAAGTGTTGATATGATAAGAGCCCAATAGGCTCAGGAACCTGTACACCAGTTGATTGACGGTTGAGAGGCGGGTCCAAAGAGCCAGAGCTCAACCCCCGCAAGCACAACTAGGTGAGTACACACACACACACACACACACACACACACACACACACACACACACACACACACACACACACACACACACACACACACACACACACACACACACACTCACACACTCACACACTCACACACTCACACTCCCAAAGTGCTTTTACACCCTGTGAGTACCAAATGAAAACCGTGTTTCCTACGTTAAAAGTTACTCATCCCCAAATTTGACAGTCAGATTCAATTACGCGACGTGGCCTCCCTTGGAATATTAATGGCAAGTGAGAAACTGAACGAGAGACTTCCTTTTGACAATCATTGAGCTTGTCAGAGTCGCAGGAGACAAATTAAGAGCGTCCTGTCCCTCTTGTCAATGTGGAAATCAGTTGACGTCATATGACGCTTAATTTACGAGTCGCCAGCGTCTTCGGCTGATGGGAAGACGCACTTCAAGGACTCCTACTTCGGAAAGATCCACTGAGGTAAATTCTCCCACTTAGAGTTTCGTGTGTGGTTGAACTAAGTAGGTTAGATAAGGTCGGTGTTTTCTATGAAGCTTTTCAAGGGAAACTATTATGTTTAGTATGTCACCTATGCACGCAACTAATAAGTCAATATTGACTTATTAAATTTGCGAGAATGGGTTGGTGTATTAAACTGATAGCTATTTCTGTCATCTTGTGTTGAAAGTCACTGGGAGGAGGCTACCCAGTCACGCTCTTTGTTCCAGATGCTGAACTTCCCAGAGTTCTGTTTCAGTCGCTTTAACCTAAAAGCCTCATCCTGTATCAGGTGTTTTCTCTGGAAGTGCGGCGCCTCGATACTGGCAGCATAAACCTCCTACATTTGCCCTGGAGCTTCAAGATCCCCCTTCCAGTGTCTTCAGAAGCCGTGAGGTGTGAGAAAATGGTCCCATTGGCACGTATATATGTTTCTCTTGGGTGCTGTACGCTATACGACTCAGTGTCGGGGATGAAGTTTTCAGACAGTTTGCGAACTGAGTTCGTAGCGGGTATTGGGGCGCGCTGTTCGTAGCGGGTATTTGGGGCGCTGGGTTCGTAGCGGGTATTTGGGGCGCTGCGTTCGTAGCGGGTATTTGGGGCGCTGGGTTCGTAGCGGGTACTTGGGGCGCTGGGTTCGTAGCGGGTACTTGGGGCGCTGGGTTCGTAGCGGGTACTTGGGGCGCTGGGTTCGTAGCGGGTACTTGGGGCGCTGGGTTCGTAGCGGGTACTTGGGGCGCTGGGTTCGTAGCGGGTACTTGGGGCGCTGGGTTCGTAGCGGGTACTTGGGGCGCTGGGTTCGTAGCGGGTACTTGGGGCGCTGGGTTCGTAGCGGGTACTTGGGGCGCTGGGTTCGTAGCGGGTACTTGGGGCGCTGGGTTCGTAGCGGGTACTTGGGGCGCTGGGTTCGTAGCGGGTACTTGGGGCGCTGGGTTCGTAGCGGGTACTTGGGGCGCTGGGTTCGTAGCGGATACTTGGGGCGCTGGGTTCGTAGCGGGTACTTGGGGCGCTGGGTTCGTAGCGGGTACTTGGGGCGCTGGGTTCGTAGCGGGTACTTGGGGCGCTGGGTTCGTAGCGGGTACTTGGGGCGCTGCGTTCGTAGCGGGTACTTGGGGCGCTGCGTTCGTAGCGGGTACTTGGGGCGCTGCGTTCGTAGCGGGTACTTGGGGCGCTGCGTTCGTAGCGGGTACTTGGGGCGCTGGGTTCGTAGCGGGTACTTGGGGCGCTGCGTTCGTAGCGGGTATCTGACATTATACCCGAGAAACCCGGGTATTATCCACGATGGAGCGAGGCATTTTATACACGCGAAGTACACAAAAAAATTTCAGCATCATACTTGACACGGTAGAGACGATTTTGGGACAGCTTAACCAGTGTCGCTCAGTGTAGGATAAGGGTGTTGGGTGTAGACTGTGTTGTACTGGGTGTAGACACACCCACACGCACGCACACGCACGCACACACGCACACATTATGGTGGGTAAAGTTGATTTGATAATATATATCCCAGAATATTGTCTTCTCTCTGGGATCTCATCAGTCACTTTTAAACGTGGTTTACCCTCCATCCTCTGTCCTCCTGCTTGGTTTACCTCTCACCTTTTCTGCTTGGTTTACCTCTCACCACACCCCGTGACGTCACGGTACAACCCCGTGACGTCACAGTACCACCCCGTGACGTCACAGTACGGCCTCGTAACGTCATACTACTCTTGCTCTCAACTGTTCGGAACAGCAAAAACATTCACACTAGCGAACAACTAATGTCGACTCCACAAGGGCTGTGGCGAGGATTCGAACCTGCGTCCGGGAGCATCCCAGACACTGCCTTAATCGACTGAGCTACGACAGGGTAAAAAGAGTTGAAACCGAAGTTCTACTGAACTTGAACTTCGGTTTCAACTCTCTTTACCCTGTCGTAGCTCAGTCGATTAAGGGAGTGTCTGGGATGCTCCCGGACGCAGGTTCGAATCCTCGTCACGCCCTTGTGGATTTGTTCATTTGATGCATCACGTTAGTGTGATCTCTGTGTGTAATAAATGTCGACTAGTTTTAAGGGCGTTTAATCACCTCAAAAGACACTTCCGCTTCCGGGGCCGACGAAAACCTGTTAATTGCCTCATTAGCATCTCCAATTATCTCATTAATGAGTTTCCCGAATGGCTAGTAAACAGTTACTTAATGAGGCTCCTTGTTCGAAGTGTTTAAAATGTGGATTAGTTTTTAAACGTCTATTTATCCAGCCGGAGACGTAAGCTTTCTTATCACTCTCATATTACCTTATGTTGCTCAAGGAGCGGGAATAGGGGAATCGAACGCCGACTATGTGAGATAAAGGTGGATAGATTCAACCGGTGAAGAATGTGTAACATTACTAGTGGGTGACTTTATCTCAGTCTACCGTACATTTGGCTCAACCACATTTGGCTTAAGTGGTTGGGCCACCATTCCTTTCCCCCCGTCCCATCCCAAATCCTTATCCTGACCCCTTCCCAGTGCTATATAGTCTAATGGCTTGGCGCTTTCCCCTGATAATTTCATCCCTCCCGATATTAATGTAATTTTCTTCCTGAATAAATTGCATTAACAAACCTATGGCCCCTCCCCCCCCCCCACCCCCCAAAAAAGGTATATAGA